CTCTCTCTCTCTCTCTCTCTCTCTCTCTCTCTCTCTCTCATTCTCTGTTGTACAATCCAATATTCATTCAGGAAAAGGAAGGGGCACATCACACAACATTTTTTACATTTCACCATGTGCACTCCACTTCTTGGGTTTGTGTTTTAAAAATACATAGGCTTTTTGAGAGATTGGTGAAGTTTCACATTCTCTTCATACTGGCAATGTACTACTCCCCTTTCATTATTAGAGCTTTTTACTGTTGAAAGTATACCCCTTTTCCTTTCACCCTGTGCATACTGCAGTGGTGACAATACTACAAATTTAGCATAACAAGGGACAGAAAGACTAGTTCCACAAGTAATATGAGTGCAACAAGGGTGTGAGTGATGACACACCCTGGTGTAGATGCAGCCTTGGAAAAATATTACTGAATTTTTTGGGAGGGAAAAAGACCCACAAAGTCAAATGGGAATAATGACAAGTCGGTTCTTTTTGGATTTTGTCGGATCTTTTTGGATTTTGAATTGAATCCCTGAATTTTTTATACTATCATACATGTACTAACATATTCCAAATTACAACTATAACAGCAACTTATTCTACAACTGAGGGAAATTCACACAGGGCAGGAAAGCAAGCAGATACACACTGTGCTCATTATGGAAAGCAAAACAGCAACACAGCCACTCAGCTGGGCACCAGCCAACTGTTCTCCCTTCACTAATCCAAACAAATCTACCATCAAAGGCCAAGCAATTTTACAGTGCCCATTTCCTCCCCTCCCCTTCACCACCACCGCACCACAAACAGGAAGTCTCCCCATCCAGCGGACACCCTCCAACTAACTAAACGACGCTCTGGCAAAGAGGCAGTGGGGAGGGGAGTCACATGACAGCTAACTCTTTCCTTCAGACAAACACGTTTCTAGGCTCCTTGTCTAGGTTTTGGAAAGAAAAGTCGTGAAGGCGGTGGGAGGGAGCAAAAGTGATTCAGATTGGGAGCCAAAAGTACAATGCACACGTCGCCCAAATTCTTAAGCTCCGCGACGAAATGTTTTGCTAATCCTCTGCACCTATCCTTTCCTGCCCTCGGTTGCTGCTGAGTATGGGGAAGGGCAGGCACACACCCAGGATGAGGAAGTAACGACTAAGGGCGACACACGCCGAAATCTACTTAACCTTCCATACATACCAAGAAGAGACAGAAAATAGACCTTTTTGCCATTGTCGTCCCCAGAGTGTACGGTCGTTTTCACCACCTTTGAAAGATGGCCAGTACTCGTCCCCATTTGCAGAAACCGGAAACCTTCCGACTGTGCTGGCCATGAATGCCCTCAAATACAGCCAGCAACAGACTGATAGTAGCGGGGAATCGTTAAGAAAATGCTACTTAAGTCCAGCAACAGGACGAGAATATCCCTTAAGGGCAAGCCAAAATGAGTCTGAGAAGTGATGGCTTGTGACGGGAAAGGGGAGGGGGTATGTAAAAGCACACGCGGATGGCGGGGCTGTGCGGGAAAGAACGGAAAGAGGCCGCAGGAAGCGTTTCGCCGGCCCGAGAGAGCGATCTTGGGAAGTGCAACCGGGCAGGGTGGACCAAAGGAGGGTCCTCTTACTCACCTTGATGCACTGCGACATTGCAGCCATGCCCGTCGCAGTAAACCAGCGGATTCTCGGCCCAGCCCCTCTCGTCGGAGCACACGCAGCAGCCGCCGATCATCTCCTTCATGCTATTGGAGAACTCTCCCTCCAGTGACACAGGCAGCAACAACGGCTCGCTAGAGACCATCTAAGGGTTAAAAACACCGTCAGCACGACACCACCAGAGACCCCCGCTGCCTCTGCCGCCGCCGCCTTTTCCTCCGCACCGCACTCCGCCTTCAGTCGCTCAACCACCGCCGCCGCCAGTACCGTCTCCATAGCAGGGATGTGGGACCCATGGCCGCTGGTGGAAGAAGTGGTGGTAGTGGCGATAACAGTGGAGCAATGAGGAGGAGTGGGTACCCGGGCGCCTTCCTAGTCCCTCTTGAGCACCGACTCGCCCGCGCAGCTACTCGTCAGTCTTTAAGCAAGGGACGGCGTTTCTTTCGAGTATTGGCTGCCGCCGGCGCGGCAACAGTCCTGCGGGCCACACGGCAGAGCAACAGAGCAGGGCCTGCTGACGCAGGCGCACTACAATCCTTCCTCAGAGAAGGCCCCACGACGCGGCGGCGGCGGCCTTCTCTTTCGTCGTCGTCTTCTCCTCCCCCCACCTCCACGCGGTGGCTCATGGGCAGATAGTGGGGCGCGAGACGCCGCGAAGTTCGGTGTCACACGCTGCTCACTGGCGCCTCGCCACTCCGCCGTTTCTTCCCGGTGCCCGTTCAGAGCGTGCGCGTGAAGCGCGCCGGGGGGGGGGGGCACAATATCGCCTGGGCTCTCAGAGACACAAGTTGCGTGTATGATGTGAGAGCCTGACTAGGCCCAGACTGTAAGCAACGTTCCCTTTCGCTTTCTGGATCCTGTCTTGCAAAGATGACACTCTATGCGGCTCCCGGGAGATACCGCTCGCTCGCTCGCTCTCTCTCTCTCTCTCTCTGCATGTGTGTGTGTGCGCGCGCGCGCGCGCTCGTTTTATTTCCTCCAGGCCGTTATGACGCTCGAGGGACAACGGAATTGATACACTCCTGCCCTGCCCGTTATTCTGTCACACGCAGCACACTGGCTTCGTGTGTTTCCCAGTCCCCCGGGTAGCTGAGACAGCGGGGGCAGGGTTGAACCTGAAAGAACATGACAGTTGCGTTCACTGAGATCCCTTGGCCCTAGAAATAAGATCAACTTTTTAGGGGTGGCTAGATACACACACCCCTTACTCAGGAAGATTTATCTATAGACAAAGACTGTTTAATTTTTCTCATTTCTTTACCGGTATGGTGGTTATGCATATAGAAATGAAATAATTAGGGTTTTTTGTTTTGTGCCATAATCTCAAATATCGTTAATGGGAATTGATGGTGTTGATGGCACTTCTTCCAAAGAAACCTGCTGTTCACTGACCCAGCCTCCAGAGCCTTGTGGCATCTTAAATGCTATTTTATTGTGACATAAGCTTTCCAGAGTTCCTTCTGAAATTCTTTTTTTTAATAACACTTCCTTACTCTGGGTAAATTAGTTGGCTCTATGTGTCTGTCTGTGTGTGTACACATGACTTACTCAGACAAAGGAAGTCTTGCTATAAAAATAAGCAATTTCAGAGGGATATATGTTGCCCTTTCCACTTTTGTTCCGTCTTCTTAGTTCACTTTGGCTGCATCTGCAAAACTGTTTTCCACTTTGACTGTCAAGAGTTTGCTTCCTTCAGTTTGACTAAAACATTCCTATCCCTAAATCTATAGACCACTGTGGTTAAATCCTAGTGAAATAAATTTATTTATGCTCATTACTTTAATCCTGGCCTCCCCATTGAGAACCACAGGTACATAGATGTCTGTCTATGTGGCAGTTCTCAAACTGGAATTCAGTGGAACAGACAACAGGCAAACCAAAAATGTTGTTAGTTCTCCATAAATAAATACAAGGATACACATCTAACATGTTCAAGGGCATATTTTCCAGATTTTTATGAATGATTATTTGCATTCATATTTCAAAAAGTAAAGTGACAACAAGATGGTTATGTTGTCAGTGTAGAGGAAAATCCCCAAGTTTTCAATTATCCATTGTAAGCAGTTAGAAGAAACTAACTGTGGCTGCTATTAAGACAGAAAGGAGATTAAATGTAGCTTTGTAAAATTTGGCTACTTTATTTGCCCCAGGTCTGTTGCTTTTGTGAAGAAGGTGCATTGAAAGAATCACAAGTAAAATACCATTGATTTATTTCCACTATCATGCTTAATAACAAGCATGCTGAATTTGTGCATAGACTGGTAATTTTTATGATGATTTTGCAAGGCTGTCTTATTGGCTGAGGTTTTGGTCTATTTTAATCAACTTTATTGAATTATCTGCATTGCCCTAAATAAATGTATATATTGGTCAGTTGCAGTTTTTTTAAAGTTGCAAAGTAATGAACAACATAACACTTCTTACAGTTAAGTGGGGGTTTGTGAAAAGCTGCTGTATAAAGGGGAGGAGGGATGTGCAGAACTGTTGCCCCCTATCAGAGCCTGCAGTTCGTGTGCAGGATATCTTGGGTCAGGCTTTGTTGTCCTTGAAAGTTTGAAGTGAAATTTTCTAGATAGAGGAGGAAGGACAGGGGACAGGGAAAGGGGAGTGGTGAGTGTCATTTCCTACAGAAGGCTTAGCTAAACACTTTGATTAACATAACAGTGTCATTTGAGTGTTTGTGATCTGCTGAATATTCTTCTACATATAGCATGACATTTTCCCTGAAACCTTACCATTAGGAGAAAATTCATGACTTTAAAAATATACCAGAAAAAAATGATTAAATCACCCATTTTAAAAATGTGTGTATGTGCCTGTACATGCAGAAGGAAAGTAAAATCCTATAGAAGAAAGCAATATATACATGATAGATGCATGCTTTCAGAATAAAAACTTGTGGCAAATTTGAGACATTTAATGTTTTATTATGCTATGATCTGAAAATTACAGATTAATATTATTATTTAAGGATTAGACTGCACTTAAAACAGCTGGGTGCTTGGTAAATGAAATACCCTTGTTTAAACTGACCCACATTGCAATCCTACACATACTTATTTGGGAGTAAGTCCAATTTATCACAGTAACTCTTCTGAGTAAATAGCCATAGGATTGTTCTGCCAATTACATTGACTTCAATGGGATTACATTTGTTTCAACATATTGTATATTTCTATGCCTATTTACTCAAAAGTAAGTTCTAATGTATTAAATGGGTCCTACTCTCATGCAAGTGAATATAAGATTGCAGCTTATATTCCTTCAGGTATAGATATGGCTGAAGCGTGTTGCAAGGTTATATTTTGCTCCTTTCAAAAATACTATCTTACTATCTGGAAAACATTCCCAGAAATTAACAGCAACAATACAAATTTTATTAACAGCAACCTAAATAAAACTCTTGTTTACAGTTTAAAATGTTGTGGCATCCTAGAAACTAATTCTTTTTGTTTGTTTGAGACATTCCTTCTAGATACCATATGCCTTGGAGACCAACACAAAAACAGAAGAACTAAATAGATATCACTCCACTATAGAGTAAGCCTGAGTGTGACTGAGCCAGCATTCTTAAACATGTCATTCCCATTCTGCTAGGGACTATTTACTGGACACTAACAGAAGAAAGAAATTAAATACAGATAGGTGTACAAGGAGATGAAATTGGGATTTAGGTAGGAAAGAAAGGGTGAACATCAGGGATATTAAAGGGAACTGACATTATTATGGAGATAGGACCAGTCATCTTTCCTAACTGTGAGCATTAAAGAGGCTCTAGAGTAGGTAAAGGATGCAGTGAGGAAGGAACTAAAAAGCTATTCTGATTAACTGCACATTGCAATAAAATAATAGCCTAAGATTCATTCCAATATGTAAACATTTTGGAAGATTTTTGGGAAGATTTTGGATTTTTTTTCTTGAACACTAAGAGTTCCAAACAGCTCTTTAAAAGCCACAAATCGCATACTTCTTTGCACTTAGTATCTAATTAAACTTTGTTCTTTGCTCAACTGTAAAGCAACACCAACTTAGTCTTACTACAAGAACTATCAAAATCTAAATTAAGCATTAGAAATTATGCATTTCAGATAATGATAATGGTTAATATCTCTGCTGTTTATCAACAGAATGATCAATCTAAAACTAAATCCTGGCAAAAATACAAACTATAATGAATTAAGAATTAAAACATTAGCATTATTTTAAATAAATCTTACTAACTTTAGTTCTATCAATGGAATTTAAATAAACAGACTGAAAGACAACCCATGATCACTACTTTATAACATTAGGGCAAAGTTGATGGCAAAATGTAGATAGCCTGTGGTTTTGTAAAACAATGCATTTGGAGGGAACCATTGAAATGCAAAAGAGAAAGGGAAGGGCTTTACTACAATGTACTATACATAGTAAGCCATTAACATCCATATGATATGAATGTACAACCTTTTACATCCCTTTCCTAAGCACACTACTTGGAGGCAAGATAGACTGAAAGGCTGAAATCGATGGAAATTACTTTGAAGTTAAATTTTAAGGGTGTTAGGCTATGTTTTCATATGAATGTAGTAATTGTAAAAGCTAATACAATGAGAAAATTCTTTTCAAGATTCTCATGTATGTTCACAACTATTAGAAAAGGAACTAATGTAACAATTGAAGTTGCATTTCAAAATTGGTAAGCAATACTTTAAGTTGCCAAATTTGAAAACATTAAGTCATATTTTGACTTAACATGCAATGTACATGTTGTATGTTATTTTATCATTATGGATGTTGACTAGTTTAAACTTCAATTGCCTACATATTTACTTAGGAGTAAGCTGCATTAACTCCTAAAGAACTTACTTCTGCATAAGCATACATATGAATGCACTATTACAGCACAATTTTATACACATCTACCTATAAGTGTATCCCAGTGAGTTTAATTAGACTTATTCCCAGGTGGGTCTGTAAGGGATTGCAGCCTTATTTGCCTTTATTTTTATTAAGAACAGTAGTAGGTTAAGTGACTTAATATGTTGGATGCGGGGGATATTTTCATTGCTTCAGTGAAGTATACTTACAGAAATATTTGAATACTTTTAAAGTCTTCTATTACCTTCAACGTTATACTAAAAAAGCAAAATAGCAACCTGAATTTTGAATTGCCTGAGCTACAATTTATTTGCTTTGTTACTTACTGACTATTCTCAATGGATTCAGCAATGGAGCCTTTGCTTATTGGGTAAGAGAGGCCATAGTTAACCTCTTCAGCACAAATATATCAGTTAAATCAGGTGCATTGTTTTAATATTCATAAAGACACTTAACAGTTGAGGCAAGCATCTATATAAGTATACAACAAGAAACAAGCTGTTAAAATCCAAACTGTCTTTTTCATTCTAGCAAGGGTAAAGGGAGAATAGTTGTGTCAGGGTTTGTTTGATTTTGAGAGATGGGGTGGAAACAGTTGTTGGCCTGAAGGCCTTTCTTAACAACTTTTCAGTTTATATTTAAATTGAGTCTGCATCCAAACTTACAGTTATCCTTTATTTGGGTACAAGGTGCTATGATCTAAAAAGAAAGATGCAGAAAGACCTCCATTAAAGAAGTTTTGGAGGAAAAAATGTGTCGGTACTCATTTGTGTTTCTTTAAAATACATCACTTTTGTCTGCTGAACTTCAAAATGGTATTCATAGAAGGGTAGATGATGCTGTTTTCTTAATACTAGTAAATGATAGTACTGTATAATGGCCAGTCCACACAATATGGGAAATGTGACATTTGTGTTTTGCCTTATGCATTT